AAAGGCAACATTATCAGTAGCTGCTATCAGGAGTCTAGAGTCATAGAGTTTCTTCTCATCACTTAAGCCAAAGAGTAGAATTTGAAATAGAGTTTCCATTCTATATAAACTTGAAAATCAAAGGTCTTGACAAAAAGAAAAGATTCAAGCAGGATGTTTGTCTGCTTTTTCTACCTTTACCCTCAAATCTCCTGGCAGTGGAGAGCTAAAAACAGGTGTATCTCACATTGCAACAGCAGAATATTAAACCTAACTCTAAACACAAGCTTAACTCCACCTCCAACCTAGATGTTTCTTGAAGTAAGGACAAATAGGAGGAATTCAAAGGAATTGAATAAGAGGAATATTCAATATGAATATGAGGAATATTAAATTTGAATTCCAAATATGGGGAATTCAAAGAGACATTATACATCCTTCAATCTGTCTTTTTTTTCCCACTGGGATGAGGGTAGGGGTGGTGGTAGCGGTAATAACAGGGGGAAGTTGGAGCTTTTGAAGAAGGGAAAGATACTGTTGGTCCTGCTTTTTCCTATTTCCTTTCATGGAAATGGAGAGAAAAGTTTACTTCCTTGAATCATTTTCATTTCCAGTTCTGTTTCTCTGAGATACAACAAACACAACATGGTTCTAAGATCTATGGTAGTCTTCTTATCAAAACCTGTACTCCTGTGAGTATTCAGAAGGGAGGGTACGTAACAAAACCCAGTCAAGGTTAAGGGGTGGAGGAGGATATTAAATCCCAAAGTACAGCAGTTTGGAGACTCAGCTCTTACAGGTTCCAAAAATAACCAGAATTATGAGTTTGACCTCGCTGTAAGCAAAAAACTAAGGCCTCAAATTAGCTCAGGAGTCGTTTTTCCCATTGTTAATGCATGTGACTTTAACAGATGTTGAGATGTTTCCCAAATTCCTTGAACATTGAAAGTGGGTTTTTCCAGCAAAGTATTTCCCCTTTTTAAAGTAATACTGCAGGAAGGTTGAAGGCATAGAATAATAATGTATTCCTGCAAAATCGGGAGTCAAAAGAGCTTATCTTTCGCAGTTACACGTTTCTTGGATCTTATTCCAAAAGAAAAAATATTTTCAAAACTGCCCTCAATGTGCATGCCTACCATGCCTTCATTCTGGATAAGACATGCATAACCTGTTTTACAGATTCCCAAAAGAAGGTTTTACTTCACCCTGAAAATGTCTGAATATCAGTCAAAGTGTTTACTTCTCAATAGTGTCAGGACTTATATTTTCCAAGTGTTCTTAAAATTATCACTAGTTAATGTTATCAGAGCCAAATTCATACCCAAAACTCTCAGGTAAATTCAAATTTCTTACCTAAATATCATGGCTCCAAAATTATCAAATGAATAACTATGATTGAGATACTGCAGGCAGTTTAAGTGGCTTTTACTAGGGTTTTGGAAAGAATAAGATAAAGATGTGTTCTACAATTCTCTTTAGCCAGCAAAATGTTTTTGGACACTTATAAACTTACTTTGTAAATAGCTTGTTCTCCTTAATCAATTTTATTTATATTTTGTTATATAAAATCTATAGTAGCATACATATTATAAATAAGTAAACATATATTATGTTCGTACAGTCAAAAACTTTTCAATGTTAGGGGTATGTAATTTAAAAATTGAAGACAAATGCTTTAAAGAAATTCTCATTTGGAGGGTCTATGATTCACATACTTTTAAAAGTTACAGGCAATGGTACATCTTTGAAATAAGAGTGTTGATGAAAATTTTCTTTCACATATGATCTGAAAATATAAATATGCACATATAATTGAGCACATTATTAATGTCTTAAATCATACCATCAACTACCTAGCCAACAAACCTGCAAACTCTCAATCTTTATGGAAGTTCTTTTCCTTACTAAGCATACTCTCTGAAAAGGCCTTAGTTTCACAGTTTCTACTGAAGATAATCTGTTCACCCATTGAACAGTAAATGTATCAATTAATTCTGCCAGAAAGTTAGACATTTAGTAAAATATTGATTTATGCAAGTTATTTTATCACCTTGCATAAAAACAACAAATTGAATGAATTCATGATTTTCCTATCTATGATTTGTTAATCTTGCAAAGAACAACCACATACATAAATCTAAATGCATGATTTACTCCTCATCCCAAATAAAGTAAGGTCTCTTCCTAACCTAGAATTCAGACACCATCATTTTGTGACAGATATCATACTCTTAGTAAAATTAGTCTTTAACAATGTAGTGAACCACAATTTGCCCTCGGTTATTCATTATTTCCAGTTCATATATGCAGTGCCACTAGTGTGGTAGATGATGCTTGTTATTGTTGAGTACAGATAATGGTGGAAATAATAAAATATATGCTGCAAATCTTATAGATTGATTCCTCCAATAAAAAATTAGTGCCAACTCAATCAATGTAACAGAATGTTAAAATTGGTCTCTTTATATCTTAGCACCTGCTCAGGCCCAATGAAAACTGACTCTTTCCTTACTCCAAAGTGAGAGACTAGCCCCTAAGAACAGACTTGCAGGGGCTGGGGATTTAGCTCAGCGGCAAGGTGCCTGCCTGGCAAGTGCAAGATCATGAGTTCGATTCCTGGTACCAGAAGAAAAACAAAAACAAACAAACAAACAAAAAAAGAGACTTGCAAAGGACATAGACAAGAATCAGTTTTACAACACATTAGTCACCACCTGTAGCTTGTAAAACAGGTTGCAGAAACTAAGAGGGGCTGGAGATTAGAAGAGGTGTTTTGAAAATCGGATTGCAGAAATCTCTATGGCATACATTATTCACAATAGTCAAGATATAGAACAACCCTAAGTGTTCCACAGCTGAATGAGTTTAAAAAAACTATTAGAATATGTGCATATTGAAATACTATTCCACTACAAAAAGAAAACCAGGAACAACATGAGTGAACCTAGAAGATATTATGTTAAGTGAAGTAAACCGGGCACAAGAAAGACAAATACCACGTGATCTTACTTACATGTTGTATCTAAAGAAGATGAACTCAGAAATTGAGAGCAGATTGGTAGTTATGGGGGCTAGAGGTTGAAATCGTGAATAGGGAAAGGGAAGGTCTTGTTCAATAGGTACAAAGTTACCATTCGATTCAAAGAATAAGTTCTGGTGAATAACACAGTGGCTTTAGTTAATGATAAGATATTACATGTATCAAAATAGCTAAAGGAGGATTTTAAATGCTCTCACCACAAAATGATAAATATGTGAGGTAATTAAATACTAATTAACCTAATGTGATTATTTCAAATGTGTATGTAGGAATATAACATTGTACCCCATAACTAGAAAAATAAAACTTTTCAGAAAGTAGAAAAGTTAAAATGAAAAAGAAAGAAACACAGATAAGTAAAGAAGCTTTTTGGAGAATATTACACTGTGCATGACATGCCCCTCATGAAGTGGGTATTCTTTCCTCACTTCAAGCTTAATGAGTATGGCCCCAGTGGGACCAGTATCTTCAGTAGGAGAACTTAGGCACACTGTAGACTGCTACCAGGGCTATACCTGAGAAAATTAAAGTGAAAGGTACTGGCTAGATAGATCCTCTGCCAGCAGAAGAAAAGAGGAGTCTAAGTCAGGATGGACATGATTCTTTAGATTCTTCACAGGGCAAAGAATTTGGAGGACTTCTCATGAGGTAACATGGGCCAAGAAAGAGACCTGCGGTATGATATTGTTTCAGGTCATGACCAAGAGATCTCCTGGGAAAACAGAGAGAGCTCAGCAAACAAAATGACTGAAATATCCCATTAAGGCGAGAGGAAATGTGATTGAACACATCAAGAACTCCTGTGAGAAATATCTGGTGATTATGGAGTTCCCCAAAGGACCTCCGAAAGCAACCAACCAGACAATCAGCCTTAAACAACCACACCAATGCTAGATTGCTAGAACAGAATGGGACTTTCCATTGCCTCTCAACTTCTCACCTTCCTTTGGCCTCAGGAACTACAGGGAAGGAAACAAGAAACAGTTCATGGCCCTGAGAGGGAGCACTCATAGAGGAGGCCATTTTGGATCAAGCATAAACTAGAAGAGAAAAGGTGTCAACTGGCAGTAAATTTCTTGTTTTTAAAAAATATTACTAGTATTATATTATTATTACACATTACTTTACTGAGACTCTTTAGTTTGGGGTAGTAAAATAAGCAGAAGACTTTTTTTTTGAAAAGTTACTAGAAAAGCTATAGTGCCCATTATATTTTCATCCAGTGCCAAAAAGTAAAAAGAAAACAAAAACAAAAACAAAAGTGTCCAAGAGCAGTTTTAAAATAAAGTAAGGGAGAAAACTGAAGAGATTTTTCTATCATACATTACAAATTATGCTTATATATGCTAATGATTTCAATAGTAATAGATATAATTTTACAAATGCATATATACATATATGCCAGACACTGCCTGTTTTTGTACTAAATTGTTTCATCCTTATAACACCCTTACTAAGATTTATTACACTCATTTTTTTGGTGAGAAAGATTGGTGCAGGGAGAAATTAAGTAACTTGCCTGCAATTCCATGACTAGTAAGTGGAAAAGCTACTCATGTGGAACATTTCAAATGAATGAGTATTAAATTTTTTCTACAAATTTGTTTCTTTCACATCCAAAATACTGGATATCTAAAATGTAAACCACAGCCGTATCAGTTTGTTTTTTTTTGTTTTTGTTTTTGTCTTTTTGAGACAGGGTCTCACCATATGGTTCAGGCTGGCCTTGAGCTCACTTTGTAGCCCAGGCTGGCCTCAAACTTGCAAAGATCCTCCTGCCTCAGCCTCCCGAGTGCTGGGATTACAGGCGTGCACCACCACGCCTGGCTCCATCAGTTTAAATGCATTAACATTTTGCAGAGACACATAAGTCTATGTGTGATTTACTATGTTTCATTTCTAGAACAATGGACTGTCATAGAACATGGGTTTTTTCCTTAAATATATATTTCTCCTCTTTTTCTTTTTCTCTTTATTGTAGGCATGGACGACCACTACTAAATGAAGTACAGCTGAAGGGTCGTGACTTCCTGACTCTAAAGAACTTTACAGGGGAAGAAATTAAGTACATCCTATGGTTATCAGCAGATCTGAAATTTAGGATAAAACAGAAAGGAGAAGTATGTAAATTTTTCCTTAGCTTCCATTACTACCAATCAGCCTTTTCAAAGGCAACTTGCCCAAAGAAGAAGGAACAGAAAATACATTAAAATTCCTAAAGAGTAGCTAAGTAATGAAACCTCACAGTCAAGGTAAATGTTTATCACTGAGTGTACAGGCATAAAAAGAGCACAAAAATCAGTTATTCTATGACAAATCATTACACTTCTTTCATATGGAATGCTGAAATTCAATGTCAATTGCATCAGAACTTAAGGAATCATTCAGCTGGAAAGATCTTATTTTATACCTCCCTTCTTTTCTCTATAAATTTTCTATTAAGCTAAAAATAAGGATAATATTTCTCTAGTAACAAATTCCATTTCTGGATACATAGCAGCTATATAATCATTGGGACAATATTTAAAAATTCGCAATGATATGATGGCATTTACAAAAGCATTTTGATTGGCAAAAAACATGTTTATTAGCAAAAAATGGTAAGAGAGTAGGGGAGGAATGGAATATGGTGCTTAGCTGTAAGAATTATTCTGCATTTTGAGCAATTTGTTTGAAACATGCTTAATTAATGCAGTAGCTTCATTTAGACAGATAAATTCTGAAAGCATTTTTTGTATGCCAAGCTCATTCAAAAGATTTTTGGAGTTGGTTTCAGGTTGAGAAAGTTCTACATGACCTTAACTTTCTCATCTAGTTGGTTAGCCTTCCAACCTCCAAAGAGCAACCTGAAGACAAGAGTGACCCCAAGTCCTTCGTGTTGATGTTCTCACAGAACACCTGGAATCATGAGGAAAGTTCTCTCTAGGTCCCAGGCTTTTGTTCTTCACCCTCTGTGTATGAGGAAAGTTAGCTGGCAGGAAGATATTTGTTCCAAAACTCATCCTATCAGGAAGGCCATCAACAGAAAGGAAGGAAGAAGAGACACACCCCACACACAAATGCTCCAGATTGTTTTCCAATAACTTCCAGAAACAAAGACTTAGTACTCTCATGAAGAAGCAGAATGAGTATGTAGCTGAAAATCTGAGGCTTTATCATAGACCAAGAAGGAGTCTTATGTTCCATGATGTGACAGAGTAGCATGTTCTTAGCTGAGAAAACACCTTTAAACAAAACATCTTGGAAGTTATCAGAAATAGAATTGGCATCTCAATGGAGCTAAGTAAGATAATAGTTTCAGTACAAAATATTATTATACTTTGGAACAGGTACCCAAATTGAACCTAGAATAGCTGATACTACTTTGTAAATATGTCAACAAGCTGTGAGTGTTACTGTTTCTTTCCCCCATATCTATTGGATATGAAAAAAAAACACTTTAAATTCACTTTTATAGAGTATATTTAGAGAGTCAGCACTTGGGATGCTGAGGCAGGAGGATCACTGCCATTTTGAAGCCATCCAGGGCTACATAGTGAATTCAAGGCCAGACTGCACTACATCGTGAAACTCTGTCTCAAAAAAAAAAAAAAAAAAACCAAACAAAGCAAAACAAAACAAAGAGAATATTTTGAAATTCTTAGTAAAAACTAAGTTTTGAAACATAATCCTTGGGCTGGGGATGTAGTTCAGCAGCACTACACCCTCCTATCAAGTGTGAGGTTGTGAGTTCGATTCCCAGTACCAGAAAAATATTGAAAATATAAAAATAAAATAAAACATAATCCTTGATATTGAATATAAAATATATTTTGCATTTTAATTGTATTTTTGTATTTCTGTCATGATTTTCAGTATTTGCCTTTACTACAAGGAAAATCCTTAGGCATGATTTTTGAGAAAAGAAGCACCCGAACAAGATTGTCCACAGAGACAGGTGAGTCCACTGAAACGCTCACTAGTGCTGAAGTTGCGGGGAGCAGAAAGATTAGCTTTGTCTGCAGGAGTCCATGGAAGACTCGAGGGGAAGCCCCACATAACTGTTCATATTCAGGGCAAAATGTAGGTGGACCCCAAATCTCAGGCCTCAAACTCTTGTAAGAAATGTGTCTATTTTTACATCATGTGGAGGTCTTTTTCCTGTGTGCCCAAGTCCTGCTAGACGGTGGAAGCTTCTGCCACACCAGGCAATCCTCAGCTGTCTCAGGATTTATTTTGTCAACTTCAGGTCTCTTGCTTACAGGCAAAATCCTGGAGGGTATGTCAGTGTTAACCTATTTAGGGGTATGAGAATTTGGTCCTTGTATGGTGAGCATCATCATCAAATATCTGTTCTAGAGTCAGTTGGGACTTTCTGTGCTTTCACTGGATCTTGTCTATCTCCAATTTACGGCAGGGTTTTTTTCCACTCTAATCCCCATGCTTGAGCTGTCTCTTGGCTTTGTTCCCTCAGCCTCTAAATAGTTCACCAAACCACAGTGGGCACGATACTGCAAGGCCATCTCTACTGTTCCTTCCTCATGCTGGGAGCCAGGGAGCTCTAGAAGAGTTGCTCGCAATTAAGCTCTGTTTTAAAAGCAAGAAACACATACGCTATTCTCAGTACAGAGGTTCCTTGAACTCTGAGGCTTCTCTCATGCTCTGCACACTTTGGAAATTGGTCTGGGAAACACACAAGGCTCAGTGTCAAAGGTCCATCAATTTCTATCTCTGTTGCTTCTTTTTCATTCCCCTTGACCCCCTTCCAGTTCCCAGTATTGGAGAACAGGTTACAAGGCAAGAGAATAAATGGCTCTGACCAGCCATATATTTTTGCAAATCTATTGTTTGTGCCTAGAATCCCATACTTTATTTTTTGGACACATAGAACCCAGGCATGGAAGCTATGGAGGCTTGTAATGGTCATGTTTTGTTCTAGTGAAATTGTTTCTACAAATGACCATAAGCATTTTGTTAAATGATGATTTTCTCTAAAGAAGGATTCTAGGACCTGCACGAAATTACACGCTATAGCAACAAATACATGAGGAAGGAATGTTTGGCCCTTACAACTTATGGTTGACAGGGTATTTGTCACTGCCCACAATAAGCACCTGTGGTCTAGTTGCACAGGGGATGCTGCCAAACTCAACAGAAGCAGAATCAGTCAAAATGTGTAGCTGCCTTAAATGCTTATAGAAATGGTAAACTTCAGACAAAATCATGGCTGTGCATTTCTATTGTGTATTTGTGACTCTTAATAGTTGTCCTTCAGTATACTTTTTCAATAGGCACACACTCTTTCTTTGGTGTTTAGAATTAAAATAAAAGGTAACTAATTGTCTATTGCTGCCCCGAGTTGTGCCAGCCCCCGGTGATCCTCACAGAATACACCTTGAGGATTCCGTCTCAAGCCTGAGGTCCAGAGATCAGCACTAGAAATTTACCTCAGGGAGCAGAATAAAATTCTCCCCCCAATTTAAATAATATCACTTTGTGTAACATGTTTGTTAAAGTGGAAAACATCTGTAGACAAGTGTACAAGTCACTAACTGCATACATAGTCCAACAAATTCTTACACTGAACACATTAGTGCAACACCCAGATAGAGAAATAAAATGTTAGTAGCACCCAGAAGTGTCCTTATACCATGTATTTCCTTCTACTAGCTAATCACTCCATTCAAGGGTAACTATTACAGTGGCTTCTAACACCACAGATTAATTTTGCCTATTTTCAAACTTTATACAAATGGAATCATTCAACATGTACTCCTGTGTTTCTGGCATCCGTTTTTCTGACCCTTATGTTTGGGAGATGTGTCCATAAGGATACATCTTATGGATGTAGTTGTACATCATTCATTACTCATACATTTTTTGCATATTCTTCCCTGAAAAACTAGGAGATTGTCTACTATGTGTCTACTGGTGATTATATTCTTTTATTGCAAATTAATCAAACCAATAGATGGATACATTCATTAATATCAGTAAATACAAAAGTTGATAGGGAAATGCACAGGGCATTCTAAGAGATGGTTCTTTTCATTATTTACAACTGGTATTTCACTTTCGAGGTGAACTAGAAGTTGGTACTTTCACAGCGGTTTCAAATTCATCATCTTTACAAAGATGCCAAGACAAAACTTGTGATACTATTCTGAAGCCATGAAAGCCAAGCACAAAGAAGTAAATGACTGCCTTAGTTCTATCAGAAAGATCCCCCAGATCCTTTGTATTTCCAGTGAATCCATTCTATTTTTACCGTTTCTTTTAGATCCTGCAGGGTTTGTGAGGAAAAGAAAGAGCAAAATAAGATTTACTTTTATTTTCCCAGAGATTGAGAAATTAACAGAAGACCAAAAAAAAAAAAAAAACTCAAAAAGGGCCAGGGATATAGCTCAGCATCACGGTGCCTGCCTGTCAGGTGCATGGTCCTGAGTTGAATTCCCGGTACAAAACAAACAAACAAACAAAAAAAACACTGAAAGAAAGTTAACAGAAGAAACTCATTGTTCAAAAATATCTGGCATGAACAAGTGAAACAGACAAAAGCACACTTCTCTGGATGAATGGTGGAAAGAGAGTGGACACCCATGTTTCTGTCCTCCACTCCTCAGCAGTGGCAGCTCTTGGGGGTTTTTCAGAACACCTGACACCCGCTGAATCCCTCATCACCACTGAAAAACGAGTAAATGATTGGCTTCTGCTTTTTGACTTGGATCTGAGGATATTTTTCATCAGTGACCACAAATTGCAATTCCTTCTCAGAGACAACATCCCTTCTTTTATTTTTCTCATGAGCTGATGAAGGCTTTGACGCCCACCTATAAACATTTTTTGTGACCCATCTTCCCACTCCCACTAATAAGTCCAGGTTCACAGTGAATCTTCTTTATAGCACAAGGAGAAAAATATAAAGCACCAGACTAATTCTTAGTTGTTACAGCAAAATAACTTCTAGTTAAAGGAAGAGTATGACCTGGATCAGACAGACCAGGAGGTCTTACACTTCGTTTTCAATCTTCCTCCATAGCTCCCACCCTCAGCGGTACTCACTCCTGTGCTAGCTACCTGGTAGGTGCACAACAAATATTTTCTTGATGAATATGCAGGACTTTTATGCAGGACTTGTTCAGATGACTTTGCCTGTTCATAAGCAAATTAAGTGCTCAAGACTGATTATTGATTATAATCATCACTAATCTAGTAGCTCACTTCGCAGATAGTAGAAATTTCTACTCTTCCTACTAACAAAATGAGGAAGAATTTATGAGGGCATAAAATAGGCCCTCATTCCCAAATGAAAGTCCTTCTTTCGTTCAGTGAGTATTTCTTGACCATTTACTCTTCACCTGTCTAAGTGCCTGAGCGACACATCAGTAAACAAACCCAGAAATGCTTGCTTCCATGGGGCTTTCCTTCTAGTGGGCATGCATAAAACAAATACCAGACACAATAAACAAGTGGGTAATGTAGAACATTAGCAGGTGATATGTGATCTCAGCAAGGAGAAGAATGTGCCTAGAACTGAAGGAGAGACATACACTGTCGCTGAATCTTTGATGTTCGCTCTGAGTGAAACGGGAAATCATGGGAGAGGTTTTTTTTTATTTTTTTATTTTTGGTTTTTCTCCGGTACCGGGAACTGAACTCATGACCTTGCGCTTGCCAGGCAGGCGCTTTGCTGCTGAGCTAAATCCCCAGCCCCCATGGGAAAGTTTTAAACAAAGATGGCTCTGACTGCTCTATTGAGAATAGACACTATGAGGAAGAGAGTGTAGAAATGAGGCACATGCAGTGAAACCTGTGAAGAGGGAGCTATATGAAGAGAGGCTCCAAGCAAGGTAGGAGGGGCATTTTCTAGATACGTTTTAAAGGGAGAGCCAGTAATATGACTTCAGTATTTGACCAAAGAGACCTATCAAGGATGACTTCAATATTTCTGCCGGCCCAACTGTGAAGACTGGTGGTAGAACAGGTTGTAAAGGGAAGATTCAGCGTTCAGTTTTGGACGTACTGAATTTGAGAGGTCTATTAGACATACACACACAGGTGTTGAAAAGCAGTTGGATGTGAACCTAGAGTTTGGGGACAGGTCTGGCTCACAGATATTTATGAGTCACCAAATGGTATATAAGGTCACAAGACTGGATCTAATGGTAAAGTGAGTGAGTTTGGATGGTGATAGTAGGGCAGAAACTGGTCCTGGAGGCACCAACTTTTAGAGGTCAAGGGAAATAAGAGGAAGCAGAAATGGATACTGAGAAAGAATTATCACAGCACATATGAAAGCACAAAGGCAGGTTTGCATGGATCCTATGTGAAGAAGATAGGATATTAAAGAGAAAGTGCTGGTCAACTTTATTTAATCCGACTAGGTCAAAAAACAGAGGACCGAGACATGATAACTAGATTTTGTTTGTTTGTTTGTTTTTCTGGTACGGGGAACCAAACTCACAACCTTGCTCTTGCCAGGCAGGCGCTGTGCCGCTGAGCTAAATTCCCAGCGTCGATCACTAGATTTAACAATGCAAACCTTGGGGAGAGGGGTTTGGATGCGTTGTGGGTGGGAAGAAGCAAAGCCTTACACGACTAGGTTTGAAGGAAATGGGAAGAGATGTACTAAAGAGAGAAAGAAAAAACAAGCAGTTCTGCTGCAATGGGGAGCAAAGAATGAAAGGAATAGTTGACAGGGATGCAGGGTCAATAAAAAGTTTTGTGCTTGATTTTTATTGAGTGGAAAAATGAATACAGCCCATTGAAGATATGGGTGAAGAAAGAGAAAGGAAAGAGTGGTTACAGAATTGCTGAGCATGATACAGGGGGTGGCTTCTAGTGCACGAGTGGGACATGGAAAGTTCGCCTATGCCTAGCAAGAAGGAAAGCAAAGTATGCGGATGCAGATGTTGGCCAGTGGCAAAATGTGGTAAGAGACTCTGGAAACTCACTGATTGCTGGTCCTTCTTCATGAAGGTGACGAGAAACAGCTAAGTGCTGGCTCTACTTCAAAACAGATCAAGCAGCCAATCACTTTCTCACTACTTCAGCTGCTACCACGCTAGTTCAAGCTATCAGCACTCATCCACATTTTTACAAGTCTCTCACCGGGTTTCCCTGTTTCTCTCCCAGTGAATCTGTCCTGTTAAGACATAATCCTGAATGTATCGCCCCTCTGCTCCAACCTCTGATGGCTTCTCATCTTCCTCAGACAAGTCAGAGCTGTTACCTTGCCCTCGCCTTCCATTTGCAGCCTCACCTTCTGCAACTGTCCTCCTCACACCACTTTCTAGTTGTGGTGCTTCCACACCAACTTTCTAGTTGTCCCTGAAGCCCACCAATTCTGACCCTTTCGCAGGACCTTTACACATGCTTTTACCACTGTCTTGTATGTTTTCTGGGGCTCACTCAGCCGTCTTCCTCAGATCTTCACTCAGATGTCCCACAGTCTGTCTGGCTTCCTTGACCACACTACTTAGAATGACCACATCCATATCTTACATTTTCTATCCCTTCCTCCTTGCTCTATTTTTTCTTATAGAACTCATCAGCATCTAACACACAATTTATTTAGTTTACTCATTCAGTTTACTATCCACCTTTCACCACTAGTATATAAATTCCATGTAAGCAGGGACTTGAGTCTTATTTACAAGGCTTTCCTCAGTGCCTAAAATAGGACAAGATATATATTTTTAGAAAATGATGAATACAGTTCCTGACCACACTGTGAGACCGGGACTTGTGGTCACTCCATCCATCTAAAGTGCTGTTGACAGTGAGAGCACCACACATGCACCAAGAGAGTACAAGAAGTTTATTACTCACATAATGTAGCTCTCTATGTAGAGTTCAGTGGGGTCCCAAGCTGGTCCAAAAATAGCTTCAGAGAGCAGGAAAACGATCCTGGGTTGGTGTTTTGTTGTGCTCAGGGGGAAGCTAGGGTGAAGCTTTTGTGCACAAGTAGGGGTTTGTAGGGTTTGCCCAAAGAAAGGAATGCCCATACTTTCTTAACTTGCCCAGAGGTAGGACAGAGAGGGAAGGTGGAGAGGTGAACACGAAAGCTTCAACTGTCAAACATCAAAAATAGAGTCAGGCTTTATTACAGGACCGATGGTAAGTAGGGCCATTTGGGTGCTTTGCATTCTCTAATTCTACCTGAAACCCAGAACATCAGATCAGCAAGAGATCTTAGGATTCTGGGTAAATTGCTTTGTTTTCCAGATGAAGCCTGAGGTTCAGTTCTACTCTGCCCTCCTATTTCTGTAGATCACAGTGTGAGTTGCCCTGAGGGCTTAAAAAACAACCTTGCCCAATTTTCTTTGACTGTCAGAACCCCAGGATATAAAATTCTTATAATACCTTCTGCAGTGCAGCAGAAGTCCGGGTGAGGGGATTCAGTGGAAGAATGCTAATCAATGGCCAGCTCACAATCGCGCCCTATGAATGGTCATCGCAAGGGTCAGAGCGTGATGCTCTTTGGCTAAAATCCATTTGGTCTGGGAATATTTAAGGGATCACTCTTAAGTATAAAATAAATGTAGTTACTTAATTTTCATACATCACTAGAAATTAGGACTATTGTGATTTTTATGTTTACTTTTTATTATGAAATTTTTCAAATGAGTAGAAAAGTAGAAAGGTTGCCATAAGGAGCACAGCAAGGCCCCTTATATCAAATTACAGTCATTAATATATATTACATGCTTTCTTTAATTTGTTGATTTACTTTGTTCCTGCATTGTTTTAAAGGAAATTAAAATTATGATGATATTTTGAAATATATCAATTTGCATCTTTTAAAACAAATAGAGGATACAATGTCATTATTGTGTCCTCCAAAAATAATGATTTATTAATGTCATTTACCATGCATCTATATTCACATTACATTATTCACATCGTGTTAAGGCATCAGTAGAGGGTTTCATGAGACCATGACTCAGTTTCCCACTGGTGGCTCTAAAACTCTTCACTCTCCAGTGCACTACACAATTAATGGTTTCCCCCTTCTTCACCAGAAACATGCGACTAACAAATTGTGACTACTGTATATTTCCCAAAAGATGAATTAGAAACATCACAATACGGAGGGAAAATAGAAAATAAAAAATTATACAAAATGCAAATTGTGCAAAATACCTCACACAATTCTTGTTCTTAGGATAATTTGACTTGATTTAGTATTGGAAAGTCTGTGGATTGATCCTATCTCAAATGAGATAGTAAAGTTTAGACAGAAAGTCACTATCTCCCCCAATTTTGCCCCAGAGCATGTGACAGAATGGCCCTGCTTGTACCCACAGAGTTTAACTGTGGCTTCTAGCATTTTCCTCTGTGTATCCTCTTCAGTCCAGTGGAATGTGCTATAAAGGTGGAGTGAGACTCGTGCGCTTCTGCAGGTATCTGGAATGCTCTCCCAGTGCAAGGATGGTCGCAAAGCAGTGGAAGTGATATGTGGGTGGTGCTCAGCTTTGTTTTCATGAAAAAGGAAGTCAGCAGTAGAAAGTAGCAGAGTGCCTTTAGCTTTTAGTGACTTGAAACCACTATTTCAATGCTTACTCTATTTTCATGCTTATTAAAAATTGTTTCAATTTATATACAGTAAAATCAATAGATCTTATGTGTGCATTTCCATCAATGCTGACAAGTGCAGATGTAACCCACAGACTCTCTGAAGATATAAAATATTCCCAGTAACCCAGAAAATTCCCCAATCTCCCTTCTCAATCACCCTCTATTTTAATTTCTGCCACTTTTGGTTGAGTTTTCCTAGACTAGAACTTGGTATAAATGTCTAGCTTTTTTCATTCAATATAACATTTATGATAGTTTGTTCCCTTCTGTTACTAATGCTGCATTGCAATCCATAAGATTCCATAGAACTATAGCTTTTTTTTACCATTGTCTGGATGGACATCTTTCTATATTTGAAAGAATTAAAACTAAGCATAACCTCCAAAAGGAAACAATGTCCCATTATTGCCAGGTCCTGAGCAAGAGGGTGGAAAAATGGGCAGGCTTTCAAAAGCAAGCGAAGTCCATATGCATAAAATTTCATCCACTTTCAATTCTTCACTTTGTTTTGCCTGCAAGTTCCCTATTAGAGAGCTTGTAACTGTTCAGTTGAGACTGTGCCAATTACCCATAATTTTGTTTTACACATTAGATTTTTTTTCAAAATACTTATGTTTCCTTTTCCTTTTATCGTAGGCTTTGCACTTCTGGGAGGACACCCTTGCTTTCTTACCACTCAAGATATTCATTTGGGTGTGAATGAAAGTCTCACGGACACAGCACGGTTTGTAAATCTTTTCTTCCCTCCAAGGTTTACTTCAGAATCTGATGGATAACTTTCAAAAAGAAAGCAGTCTTTAAGTAACAATTTTCCCTCTCAGAGTCCTATGTGCGATTCCCCATTCTCCATCTTTATCAGATGTTTGGAATGCCTCTCTCTTATCCTCCAGCTACTTCTCATGGATTAAGGTCCTTTTATTCTTATCAAATTTTTATGAGCAACTGAGAAGAAAATTTCAAACTTAGTATGACTCCAAAATTATCAAGCATGACTTACATTTAGTAGTTCAGAAAATGGATGTCGAAGAAAATGGACATGCTCAATGATTTATAGCTAGTTCATATTGGCGTAAGCAATAATATGAATAATTAGTGTTTACTGAACATTTATTACATATCAGGTATTGTTCTAACTCAATCATTAGAACAACTTAAACAGAGTGACATGAAGAGGAGAAACAACCTAATTAGCAATATACTAGCTGCTATAACACAAAATCTCAAATATCGACATCTTAATATAGTGCAGATATGCCTGACTGGTAAGAGAGAAGGACAGATTATTTTAGTTCTGTGGCCATTCAGGAACTTTGGCTGAGAGTGGCTCTGCCATCTTCAACGTGTGGCCTCCAGTGTTACCATGGATGTCAACAACCAGCCAGAACCATGGAGAAGGTATACTTGCTTTAAAGTCACCTTAGCAGGGAGGTGGCACAATCATTCCTATTCATATTCCATTGGCAAATACTAGTAGCTCAGCCTCATCAAGCAAAAAGGAGAGATGGCAAAAGGATCTTTCCTACTTTACGGTGAAAGATGGAAAAGAGGCCTTCTGACTCTATGCAATGCTCTGTCCACTACCAGCATCTGGTTAAGAATCTAGGGCAAATGTCTTTATTAAATGTTGTTTTTTCTCTCAGAAAAAAAGACAATTTTGTAAAATTATGTGTATAAGTAACTCCTTTCAAGTTCTATCTGCTTTTTACAGAGACTACTCTCGTATATACTAAAGAATTTACCTTATTTGACATGTTAAAGTGAATTCAAATAAGTCACATTTAAACCTCTAAGTTGTGTTATCTTAGATGTAAGAATGACAGTGTTAAGAAGTGGTCTGATTATCTTCTGGGTACTATGGGCAGAAAAAGTAAATGAACACTAATGAGTTTTTGCTTGAAATATGCTGTCACTGACTGGGGTTATATTCACATGATACCTGCTTTTACATAAATGAAGCATACTTTATTCAAAAGCAAATATCAGAAGCAGGTTGAGTGAGGAAGCCAAAAAATTTCAGTGGAGCTCCTTCGTAGTGGATCAGGTGAACTATGTGGACTAAATCATATGTGAACTAGTGGTTGGAAACACATCCAGTTGAAGGAACAACCGAGCATCCAAGGAAGAGTTAAGCAACGCAGACTGGCAGCCAGAGTGAGGTCAGTAGAATGCAGTAGAAATCAGTAGAGTGGACAGGATCCCCAGAGCAAGAGAAACACAGCCAGGCATAGACTGAAAGCTGAGAATGAGCATAAGCATGCTCTTTTCTAAACCTGCTCTCCATGAAGTTCTCACTGCAAGTCTGTAAAAGAACTCTACATAAATTCTGATAGAAACAATCTACTCATAAGCTCTAACATAATTGTGGCTTTCTGAGTCCGTATATACAATTAGTTTCATTGCTATTTCAGTATATACCATTAGATTGGATCCGTGTAATTCCTTATGACAATTTTGTTTTATCCAAAAGGCTGAATGAAAATAATAGTTACTCCCTAAGAATGTCTCCTATAGATGACTCATGTTATTATTTCTAAATTTAAAATCTTTGTCAAGACCTTACAAAGTAAATATTATTGACCCAGGTTTATAGATGAGGAAACCATGGTTCAGAGAAATAATGAAGTTCAGAAGTTAAGTCAGGATTTAAATCATGCTCTCTTTTTTGCTTTTTCTATTCAGTTTATAAGGAAGAGAGTGAGAAGCATTAGCTTGTATGTCTGTAGGTTCCCAAACCACGCTGAGGCTTGATGATTCACTAGGAGGCTTCAACAAGGTCAACTAGGGCTCAACAAAGTCACACTCATGGCGAGGGCTTATCCCAGCGAAAGGATACCAAGCACAACTAGCAAGGGGGAAAGACACATGTGGTAAAGTCTAGGGGATTTGAGCTCAGCCTGGGCAACACAGCAGTTTAGTAAGAATCTGCCTCAAAATTTAAAAAATGAAAAAAAGTATGGTGGTGGTAGTTAGGAACATAACTGAAGGTGAAAGCCTGGCTCAATTAATCAGTACAAAAGAGTAGTCCTGGGGAAACCAGATTCAAACTTCCAAAACTCTTCCCCTGGTGGGATCACATAGAACACACTCGATTCTTTTAGTAATCAGTTATGACAGCACAGGTGAAATGTTGCCAGCAAAGGAAGGTCATAGGACACTCAGCACCTAGGATTTATATTGGGCCTGGGATGCTAACACCCTCTGGTGTACCCAAATTTCAGATCCCCAAAAGGAAATCAGGTATTTACCTTAAGTCAGACAGTTCTTTAAAAAATTACGCAGAGTGAACTCTTATCAGGCCTGGGAATGGCAGAAACTTGTCAAATAGAAGCTCTTTCAAAGGATAGCAATTAGACCTACTATGTTAGTGCTTTGGACTGGGAAATCGGAACAGTTGAGTTCTAACCTCAGCTCAGCCACTTATTTTCCTACCAGTGACTTTCATGGGTAAACATTTCTCTGGGATCTTCCTTTGCTTTTGTATAAAATAATTTAACTATGATATCTATGTATTCCCAAGTGCATGTGCTCTATTAGATATAAAATTGTGATCCTTAAACAAAAGTATGTTCCTAGGTAAACTATGTATGTACAACAGCAAAGTAACTCTGATCGGGGAAGAGAGATTAATTCCAGAGGGTCTACACCCTATTTTGGAAATTATGTTGGGAAACGTTAAAATGTGGAATTCTGGGCCAGATGCTCAAAAATGCTAAATCTCCAGCTATGTTTCAGATAATGTGCGAGAAGCTACATCTTAACAAGCTTTCCAAGTGATTCTGATGCAGGGTAGCTGGACCACACTTTGAGAGACCACACTTTGGGAGGTGTATGCAGTCTGGGCTGTTGTGCTAGGAATATAGGCTAGTGAAGTAATGATAAAGAAGGGATGAATGATAAGAGAGTTTTATATTGTTTCATGATAACTGACTCTGAAGGTTGAATAGATAATTGAGGTAGAACGATTCCAGATTTGTTGGAATTCCACTTGTATTGTGTGTGTGTGTGTGTGTGTGTGTGTGTGTGTGTGTAGAAGCAGGAAACTGTAACTAGCTTCTGATTCAGAGTATTGGTCATACTACATTTAAGGTTGACCTTCCAAGTGTAAATGTCCACAGGTCATTGGAATAAAAGACCTTGCATGACATTGTGAGCTAGAGAAGTATAAGTATGTATAAGCTCAGTGGTTAAAAAAAAAAAGCTCCACAGTCTCCTTGAGGGAGAATTGCAGAAAGCTGTATCTTGAGGGCAGACGCAATCATGGTAAAAGGAAAATAAGGATGGTATAATATTACAGGAGGCTGGGAAGGGATGGAGAATGTCAGAAAAGGGGATAGTGTAGGTACTTTGGAAATCTGACTTCCTTCTCTGTAGCCCATTACTACTTCGAAATATTAGACAAGATCTGCTGAAACTCAGAAATTCAATAAACCTAAATTGAAGAAGACAAGGGAAATCCAGTGCCTTCCACAGAAACAATTGCATGGGAGAAGTAAAGCAATGAATCTTAATGACATCTACCCTGCAATAGGCCCTGAACAACTCTTAGCAATTGCCTGCTTTGCTTTTTGTAGAAGTTAAACTTTTAAGATGCAAAGGGATTAGGTGATGTTTAAATGACAGCACTTGCCCTTTCAAATCAAGAGAACAGTGTGCACCTGACACTGATTGATGGAGTTGCTTTTTCAATCTACCTGTGTAGCTGTTTTGGGGACCTGGTGGAATAAAAGTACCTGTGCATTTGGTGCAAAAAGAAACTGGGAGGGAATTTAGTGAATGCAGCAATAGAAAGGAAAAAATAAAAAAAGCAAAACTGGGCCAATCTTTTGAAAGCTGTTAAGTGCAATTTCAAAAGTATGATTTCTTTTTGCAAGTGATTTAATTATTTACTCATTGAAAAATAGCTATGAAATGACTAGTTTGTCGTCCAGATGTTGTTTTAGCACTAAGAATAAAAAGCTGCTCACGTCAAGCAAAACCCTTGTTGGAGTGGAAATATATTCTAGAGCGAGGAGGCTTTTACGAAACAAGTAAATAAAGCATTCGTAGAAGAGCCATTTGAAACAATTAGCAATGAGGCACAGTGATTTGTCAGTGGGGTAGAGTCTACCTTAGATTGGGTGGTCAGGAAATGCCTCTCTGAAGAGGTGGCAGTCCAGTTGAGAGCTTAAAAAAAAGCCAGAGCCAGGCATGGAAAGCTATGAGAAGAGCACCACAGACAAAAAACTACTGGGGTAAAAGCCTAAGACAGCAAAAAGCTCGGTGTGCTCACGAACAGAAGAGCTAGCATCGTTCTAAAATCTGCCAGTAAACATATATTAAATCTGAAAGCCACTGTATGTATGCATATAAAATATCTACACATATAATAGATATAGACATATATCCTTATATGTTGGTTTTCAGTCTTACCCATCAAAGGAAGGAAAAATAAAATCAGATCATGGAATAAAAAAACCTAAATACTAAATAAAACCTAAACACCTAAGTCTTCAAAAGATGTACAGCAGCTCCCTAGAACTTATTCATTCATCTTGCGTAATTGACACTTTATACCCATTGAATGGCAAGTCCCATTCCCCCTAGTAACCACCATTCTCTGTGCTTCTATGGGTTGACTATTTTAGACATCTCAAGTAAGTGAAATCATGCAGTACTTTCTGTGACTGGCTTATTTCATTTAGCATAATGCCTTCTAGGTTCACCTTTGTTTTGGCATAAGGCGGG